TGTGTATTTTGTTCCTCAAATTTTCAGTTACAGCTGCTTTTTTGCCTCATTGAGTGTCCATTATTGCTGTGTACCTTTTCATTCTTATTTCATGTATGAATTAATGTTTTTAATGGTTGCCTTAGCCAGGCTTCTCCACAGAAACAAAGCTAGTAAGATGTGTGCATGTGTGTGTTGGATATACATATAGAGAGAGGGCAAGAATTAGAGTGAGATTTATTACTAAGAAATGACTCATACAGTTACAAAACACGGCAAGTTAAAATCTGCATCTTTGGCCAGAGGACAAAGACCCATGGAAGCTGACTGCAATTCCAGGCAGAAGGACAAAAGTAGAGACTGAGGAGCTGGTGGAGCAAACAGCCCAAACACTGTGCTGAAGAGCTCTATCCCCTCAGAAAGGCCACCCAGGTTTGTGTTATATTCAGGCCTTCAGTTGATTGGATGAAACTCATCCATGTTATTGAGGGCAATCTTCTCAACACAAGCTCCATGGTGTAAGTGCTAATATTATCCAGTTCACACATAAAATTAGTCATCACAAGTCCCACCCTTTGTCAACTTGGCATTCATACAAATCTCTTTAAACCACAGAGACCAAAACAAAGCCATTCATCCACCTTACATGATGGAACTGTTCTGAGTATGAACAAAAACAGACTGACATTTCCTCACTAGAGGATACAAGGAGATTCGGTGATGTTCACTGTTACTCTTGGTATTCCATGACTAAACCCTGCTGTGTGAAGTTAGGAGGACAGCACTTGTCTTCCTTCCACAGTCAGCACAGCCTGTGATTCATGACAATGGAATAAGAGAGGGAAGAAACACGAGGGCTGATCACACAATACAGTGTATGTTTAAATTTTTAAAATTACGGTAAAAAAAACCACATTGCAATCAATTCTCAAAATGCTACCCTCATAACACCCCCCTCACTTTGAATACACTATCCCACAGTTCTTGCCACTTTCTGAGGTAGTTGTGGAAGGCCTCTTTTATGAGTGTCTCTAGTTGCATTGCCAAGACTGCCTCCAGGTGCTGGATTCATTTAAAATGCTTAGGGCAATTTCTGTCACATAAAAAAATGACACCTTGTCCTCATCTACTATATTCACAGGAATTGACACCAACTGACTTCTGGCTCATCCCCAAAGTCGAAATGATGGTGAAAGGTAAATCTTTGAATTGATTTCAAACATCAAGGTGGCCACAAAACATTAAAGAGGTGGGTTGTGTGATGTATGCCTATAATTCCAGCACTCAGGAGGCTGAGGGAGAAGGATCACTGTGAGTTCAAAGCCAGCCTGAGCTACACAGGGAATTCAAGGCCCACTTGAACTACCTAGCAAGACCCTGTCTCAAAAACAAACAAACAAACAAACAAACAAACAAACAAGACATTAAAGAGGACTTTGAGGACATCCAGAGCTGTTTCAGAAAGTGCCAACAATGATGGCATAAGTGTGTCTGAGATAAGGAGGAGCGTTTTGAGGGGTCTTAATGGCAATATGTGAGTTTACATCATAAAGAAATGATAAATGTTTGGGAGATAGACATGTTTCATCTGATTTGAATCATGCACAATATATACCTGTATAGACAAATCTCATGGTTAATAATGGATATATAGAACATTTATGTTTTCATTTACTCCTAAAAATAAATTTAATTTAAAAAATATAATAGCCAGATTGATCTCTACAGCCTTTTAATTGCTTGTTCCCTAGGAAGGTAGGATGAAGAGTTGTAGACATTCTCAGGGGAAATCCTCAGAGGGCCTCAAGTCTGTATAATTATCTCCAGACCTCCGTGTATTGACCTCTGTAGTCTTAGTATGACTCAACATCTCACTGTCTTAGAAGAAACTCAGTGCACACCATGTCTCATGGAAATAACTTAGTCACTTGAGTGATAATCATTGCTAACACTAAGGGGCGTTCTTCTGTCCTAAGACTTTCCTATGAGCCTGCAACCATGATCAGGCAAACATTAGACCTAGAAATATATGGATTTTGAAGTGATAACTTCTTCACAATTTTTTTTTCATTGCTAGAGATTGAATCAGAGCCTTTACACTGAGCTACATCCCTAATCAGTTTTTTTATTATTATTTTGAGACAGGTATTGCTAAGTCATTAAATTACCCAGGCTGGACTCAAACTTGTGATCCTTTGGCCTCCGCCTCCCAGAGTGCTGGTGTTACAGGCCTGTGTCACCATCATGAGATGTTTTTTATAAATCTCCTTCATGTGTGTTTAGAGACATAACCAGTGCACTACGTGAGAGAAGTCATCTGATGTTTGTTTTTTGTACATGGAGGAGGTAAGTGATTCTTCCTTGGACACAGAATTAATGGTAGATTTGGAACTTGATCCATCTTAATACCCTTTTCTCCATTTTTTCTCTGCTTGAAAGAAGAAGAGTCTTGATCACTATGTGAAAGAGAAAGGGGGGTGTGTGTCTCTAATAGAATTCATGCAACATTCCATGGATGTTTGTATGATTTCAAAATCTTTATTCTAGATTGACTACTCTTTCTGTCCTCCAGTAAACTGGTAAGCTTATATGTTCCATAGAGGTTTTTTTGGAACTGCAAATCATGCAAAGTCATGGACTTCCTATACCTGCTAGAAGTTATTTGGAAACAGAAATAGATATTGTCCCTATATATATATTTGTTTGTTTGTTTGTTTTGTTTTGTTTTTTTGTTCGGGGATCAAACTCAGGTCCTTGCACTTGCAGAGCAGGTGGTGGAACCACTGAGCTAAATCCCTGGCCCTTGTCACAATATTTTTAAAAACTGAGATGGAGTATAAATGTCAAAATGTCTATATAGGGACTTTATTCATATGAAATACATTCTTTCTCCAAAAACATGAAGAAAAATTAGATAAATGATTTTTATTAACAATTTTATTTCAGTACATATTTGAATCTCATCAGAGGTTAAAAAACAGACACAAACAAAAATCTGGTGTAGTGAAACAACCTTTCTTTAAACTGTGAAGCAGTTCTAAAACAGTGAGCAGGCTCTGAAGACCACATCAGTCCCCTGACAACTCCATCACGTTTATCCTCAGAAGCAGCTTTAATACTTGAGTTGAGACTTTCACCTACTACCCGCACATTTTAGAGCATTACATCACTTCTCAAATTTTTGAATCTCCTACCCATCCCCCACACCATGTCCTTGTACATCCATCACAATTTGCTGTGGAACATGGTACATGCTAAAACATGATCATGTGTCCTCAGATGAGCCACCAAAATGATTTCAAGGCAGCCTCATGTTGAAGTTGTTTGTCAGTAGCTTCGGAGAAAAATAGGAGGGGGATATTTGTGAGTTCTGTATTTGTAAACCTTCTAAAGGTTTCAATGCTAAAAACAAAGTTTAAGTAGTCTTATTACACAGAAACAGATTCAAATGTAACATTTTAAAAAATGGAATTTACCATCCAAACAGATCCCTAAGGGACTCACAACTCATTGACTGGGAAATTTTAATCCTCACACTTGTAACTTGGCTATAAACTGATGGTAATTATGGTTGTTTTAACAGCAACATACTCCTTTTCCCTAACTAAAATATGAATTTCAAGGAAGAAATTTTGAAAAAGAATGGCCCATGTGGAATTACAGGAGCAATAATCATGTGCTTGAAGAAAGAACTGACAGAAATACTGGAGAGCACCGAAAAATCTCAGCAGGCAAGAGGAAACGAAAATCAGTAAAGGAAGCTCCCAGACTATGAAGTCCCCCACAGTTGAAGCCCTCTGAGCCAGCATCCAGCTGGATGAAATCAACATAAAGATCATTGTGTCATTCGAACTGTAGTGTGATAGCTAGCACTCATCAGACTGTGGGAATTCCCAGTATTTCATTGCTGTTTTATGTATGATCTTATTTAATTCTCACAAGGCTACCTCAAAGTGGGTCTCTTTACTGCCTTCATCTTGCAGATGGAAATATGAGGTTCCGGGAATTTTGTTGGAAGCAGTTGTGGGTCTGATATGCATCTCTTCTAGGACCCCAAGCTTCTGTCCTCTATGCCTTCTTCAGAGCCAATTGCAACTCAACGTGCTCCTGCCAACCCAGTCATCCCACTTTATCTATTATTACATGGACAGTTGCACTGCATTGATTTCAGAGTTCAAATCTTTTTCAAGCTAGTCAACAGTGTATGCTCTTAACTGTATCACCATCAAATATGTACATAAGCATGAGAGTGTAGGACAAGGTTAACACATAATTTAAAGCTTACTCATTCATTTAGGACATTTGTGATTGACATGGATTTTTGGTTGTTTGCTTTACCTCTAATGAGAGGCAAACATAGTGAACAAGATGTTTAGTAAATAATCAGTTCACCATGAAATCTCAAATACTGAAATTGAACCAAAACAGGCAAGGAGCAATGATACATTAATTTAATTTAATTTCATTGGGTTAAATTAATTTTGATTTAAATTCACTTTAGACCGTTAGAAATGACTCAGCATGGGTTGAACATTGGCCTGGGCCCAGAGCCGAGACTGACAAATAATACTTGCGTGAATATGAATACATTTCCAAATGTCTCGTGCTTCATAATTCACCTGGATGTGAGAATGAATCGAGCTCACTGTGCTACAGAGGAGACGCTGAGCACACCTCCCAGGCCTCTGTAGCAGTCCCAGCAGTGAGCAAAATGGGTGTCCACTTTTACTGAGCTCAGGAGGAGTGAGACGGAAGAGAGACTCATGTACATGAGTACATTTTCTTCTTCCTTCACCTCAGCAGACAAATATATAAAGTTTAAAAATTTGATGGGTGATCCATTAAAATTCCTCACATTCAATAGCGTGGGCAAGCACATCTGGTTTTCAAGCTAATTCTGTTTGTGAAGAGTCTTGAAGTACAACTTATTACTACAACTCATACTTTCCAGTTTCAATTCGATTTCTTTATCATTTTGTTCCTTTTTCTTTGCTAAACCTATAGAATATCTAGTGATTCAGATGACTCTGATGGAGAACAGGACAGAGGTGACCCAGTTCCTCCTCCTAGGACTGACCGATGACCCACACCTGCAGGTTCCCCTCTTCTTCACCTTCCTCCTCATCTACACCATCACTGTGGCTGGGAACCTGGGGATGCTCCTGCTGATCCTCCTGGACCCTCGTCTGCACACTCCCATGTATTTTTTCTTGGGCAACCTGTCTCTGGTGGATTTCTGTTACTCCTCAGCTGTCACTCCCACAGTTTGGGCAGGGTTTAATGTAGTGGATGAACTCATCTCCTACAATGCTTGTGCAGCTCAGATGTTCTTCGTTACAGGCTTTGCTACTATGGAAAATTACCTCCTGGCTTCAATGGCCTATGACCGCTATGCAGCAGTATGCAAGCCCCTTCATTATACCACCACTATTACAGCAAGTGTGTGTGCAGGTCTAGTCCTAGGCTCTTATGCCTGTGGCTTCCTGAGTGCCTGCATCTATACTGGGAACACGTTCAGTCTCTTGTTCTGTGACTCTAATGTGGTCCACCATTTTTTCTGTGATATTCCAGCAGTCATGGCTCTCTCCTGCTCCAATAGACATGCTAATGATCTGATTCTTATTTATGTAGCAACCTTCAATATCTTTTTTGCTCTTGTTGTTATCTTAATTTCCTACATACTGATTTTTCTCACCATCCTAAAGTTGCAATCAGGCACAGGACATCAGAAGGCTCTGTCCACCTGTGCCTCCCACCTCACTGCCGTCTCCATCTTCTATGGGACGGTCATCTTCATGTACCTGCAGCCCAGCTCCAGTCACTCCATGGACACTGATAAAATCGCCTCTGTGTTCTACACCATGGTAATCCCCATGCTGAACCCTATGGTCTACAGCCTGAGGAACAAGGAGGTCAAGAGTGCATTCACCAAGATTATTTTGGAGGCAAAATAATCCTTAGGATTTTCTTTTTTTTTGTTACCTGGGATTGAACTCGGTCCTTGCCCTTGTGCAGGAGGTGGTGAAACCGCTGAGCTAAATCCCCAGCCCCAGGGATTTTCTTTTTATTATTTCAAAATGTTGCAAAGTTTTGCAAGTACTTTGAAATTAGTAATGCTGACCATCTAATTTTGAATTGAGTTAGATTCCTTATTGTAACCCCCTCCCCCCATGTCTTACCTCACTCATTCCCTCTAACTTCTTCACAATACCAACCACGTCCAACTCTCAGGGGCTTTGCCCCTGCTCCCAGCTGCTCAAAGCTTCTCTCTCCGTTCAAGACTCTGAAGGCTTTGTGCCATGTCAGAGTCCTTCCTCTTGGAAGTATTTCTAATTGTTTTATGATTATTTAGTTTTAGAATTATTTTGTCTTTATAGAATATTTTGAAAGATAAGGAATACATCACACACCAGCAGAGTCAGTAATGGCCCCAAAAGATTCATATACTAATTTCTGAAACCTTTCAACAATGTTAAGAATTTCAAGGGTGAGAGATCAGTGGGATTCTACTTCTGTGCCTCAGTGTCTTTGGGTGAGCTGGAAGAATTTAACCACACACTAAAGAGGAACTGGCAATGGAATGTCCCCTGGACTCCATGGAGGGGCTCTGCCCACCTCTGAGCGAACATTACTTTCTGCTCAGGGAGATTTATTTCAGACTTCTGGTGTCCAGATCTGTAAAAAATCTGGCATGGGGGAAGAGAGGAGGATGGGGAGGGGAAGAAAGGAAAGTAAGAATGGCTAAGATGAGATATGTATATGTATCTGTTCCTCAAGATGATAGTAATTATTAACCACAAACATATAGCTGTAAACTTCCAAATTTGCAGGAATTTGTTACAAGAAGCATAACAAATTAATAAAACCCTACTCTTTCCTAATCATGCATTGTGATTGTATGTTTCAAAGAATTTACAAGGGAAACCAACCGGTTCTGAGCTTTTCTTTCTTGGGAGGCTTTTTATTGTTAATTCAATCTCTACATTTGTTCTAGGTCTAATCAGAATTTCTATTTTTCTCATGTTAGTTTTATTAGTATTTGTTTTCCCCCAAATGTTTATTTTGTATATAAAATGCAACATGTAGGTATATTCATAATATTTTGTTATATTCATTCATATACTTATATCTTCATTTTCATTTGTGATTTTAGTAATTTGGGTTTTCTTTCCATGTTTTGTAGCCTGAAAGGTGTCAGGTATTTCAGAGCTCCCACAAAGTGAGCCCCCTCCTCTCCTTTCCCCCTGCCCCACTCTGGCCACAGAGAACAGGGAACTTCCACATAACTAGGGCATGACCTCTCTCTGTCAGTGACTCTCTACCTAGTTAGGGACTTTCTGCCCCACCGGTTTCGTGGTCAGATGTTCCTGTAAGATAGGGGCTTCCCTAAAATGGTTACTCTATCCCCCCAACCGAAACTGAGAATTCCACAGTTCTTGGGCAAGGTGTTCAGTGATGTCTGTTAAGACTTACTGGATTACAGTGTGGTTTATATCCTCTGCTTCTTTTCATCTTCTTTCTAGCAATTCTATTTAATATGAAAGTGAGGTACAGAAGTCCACAACTCATTGTCAAACCATCTATTTGTCCCTTTAATTTTGTTGGCAATTGCTTCATATATTTTGGACGCCTGTTGTTAGAAGACTGTGTTTTTAATTATATTCTCTTCAATACCTGGTCCTTCTATCATTATATAATGTCTTTATTTTCTTTTCTAACAATTTTAAATTCACTGTCTGTTTGGTCTAATAACTTGTCAGTAGCATGTAGTGCTTATTTTTCCATCTTTCTCTTTTATATTATGTATGTGTTTGAATGTCAATACATCTTTTGTAGAGAATACACTGTTTAATCATATTTCACTATTCTCCACTTTCTACCATTATTGGAGAGTTTAATGCACTTTCAGATTAAGTGATGCATGATCAAAAGTAGTTACTTATGCCATTTTACTATTTGTTTTCTGTACATCCTATGTGTCATGTCCCTTAAAGCTCACAGTACAACTTTCCCTTTCAATTCGTTGTTTGCTTTTATGTGCACCTCTTGATTCCCATATAAGTTTTTCTAATGGTTGTATTAGTCAGGGTTCCCCATAGAAGCAGAACTAACTATAGAAAGACTAATTGTATTAAAGAGAAAGAGAGACATCTATTTTTAGGAACTGCGTCTTGCAATTATAGAGGTAGGCAAGTCCAGACCTGCAGCATTGGCCAGCAGACAAGACCCATGGAAGCCAATGGAGTATTTTGGAGGAAAGAGAAAGAGATCTGGAAGAGCTGATGGTGCAGTTGTTCCAAAGCCACTATTTTGGAGAATTCTTCTTATCAGGGAAGATGAATTTTCACTGTATTATGCCTTCAGAGGATTGAATGAACATGATTAAAGTGCTGTATGTTATGTGCATAGCTGAAGTGTCACAATGAAACCCATTAATCTGTACAGTTAATAGGCACTAATAATCATAAAGAGTGACTCAGTGGGCTTGTTTTCTGTTTACTTCCAGCAACATCACAGTCATCTAGCTAATGCCTGGCTCTGCACAGTCTGCACTGCTCTGGGGGCCACTGTGAGCCTGCCGTCCATCAGTGCAATCTCACCATTCTGCTTTGGCAGGCAGTCCAGTGCTGGCAGATGGCCCTTGGCACATGGAATCCACTCCCTCCTGCTATAAAGTTTCCTGACTCAGGGACCTCGGTTCTCACTGTAAGCCGTGGCCTGCAGAGAATTGTGGTCATGGAGCTCTTCGATGCTGCTAAGGCTCCCCTCCCAAAACCATTCCTTCTTATGCCTGTGTAAAGCTATGGTTTCCTCACAACCCCACAGTGTCCTATGCAGGCTTAAAATCAAAGCTCCACTCTAATGGTATAATTTCTCTAAGGGTTTGAATGCTTCTTCTCTATCAGCATATCTAGGATTTCACATATTATTGGCCACTTCTTGTTCTTTATTTCAAACAACCAACCCAACAAAATATTTGCATTCTTTCTAACTCCCCGAAATGCATTTAATAAAGAATCTCTACTTTGTAAGCTTATATTAGTTATTTTGGCCTGATTCAGGTTTCCCTCCTTCCACATTCTCCACATTTAGTATCAGTTCTCATGCATATGCTCAATATTTCTTTCTGTACAAAGTAGAAAACTCAAGTAGATCTTTAGGATATTAGCAGGCCTCTCCATGTGTCGCATACAGCTTAGGGACCTTCTGGGACTTGAGTTTAGTTGGAGAAAAAGAAGCAAACAGCAGTGGGGTAGGGGAATCATCTTTGCCTTGTGGGATTACAGTGTCAGGATAGCTCATTAAATTTTCCTGGGCAGTGTAGGTTTAATCTCCAGACAAAATGGAGAAGTTAATTGTGCCGGGATGGAAAGGTTAGTTTTTGGCAAAGAAGACTTATGAGAACTTTGGCATCTATGTCTCCAGTTTCATTAGGGTCTTTTCACATAACAGAATCCTATACCTTCACCACCAATGCCCTGCTTTCACAGTGGGCATGCCACTTAACCAGGAGTTCACTTTGCTGTTAAGTCAGCCACTCACAGAATCATCTCAGGGTGGGGAGTCTCAGCTCTTTAGTTGTAGGAGATCAGAGATCACCTTTAAGACACAGATGCAAACATCCAGGTCATTTGTTCAATATTAAAGTGGTAATTAAAATTCCTTAGCTCATCCTTTTTTCCTCTCCTTTCTCCAACAGCATCAAGAGAAACCAGCTACTGATACTCATTAGCATGACAAAAATGCTTAGAAGTATCACACATATGGTGTTTTGTCCATTTCTACTCTTATAACAAAATGCCTCAGATGTGATAATTTATAATGAAGGGAAATATATTCCTCTACAATCATGAAGGATGGGAAGTTCAAGACCAAGTTGTCAAATTTGGTGTTTGGTGTGAGTCTGCTCCTCATAAGGCTCCTTGCTATAATTTCATGTTGGAGAAGAGAGGGTGTGAGGATGCATGAAAGAGCAGGATATGGTTGTGTCCTCATATGAGGGAAAACAGAAAGCAAAAAGTCTAGCTGGTTCCTTCAAGCCTCTTTCAAAGGGCACCAACTGAATCATGGGGGAGAGGTTAATCAGCTCCTGAGACTTAATCCCCATCCACCTTACACCTTGATACGATCATATTGGATGTTAGGTCCGGACTAATGTCCGGGATGTGTACTTCGAATCATAACACATGGTTATGCAGATCACTGGTTTTAGTGTTTTCTTAGGAATATCAGTGGTGACTTATTGTACATCTCTATTGATGGATCATGTCATGAAGTACCATGCTCTCTTGGTTGCTGAAAATAGAGTCATGGGTGCCACTAAGGTGAATCAATTTAGCGGGCCAAGTCTAGGAACTCCAGAGGCAACTTAAAAACTCATCCCTAAGGTTATCTTACTCTACAACAAATCTCAGTACCAAAACCCAATTTGGGCAGCATTCTCCAGACAATCAGAACAAACTATCTATCTGTCTATCTATCTATCTATCTATCTATCTATCTATCTATCTATCTATCATCTATCATCTATCTTCTCTCTATATAATATATATCCTGCAATATACTACAATATATACTCTGATATAATATATATTATGTCTATATGTGTCTTGCATGTGTCCCTTGTCTGTGTGCATTGTGTGGAATTTGTTCATTGATTAGGAAGCCAGAAAAGTCCAAATATGCAGTGGGCTAGCCTACAGAAGACCCAAGTGACCCAGAAGTACTTCAGTAGTGGAGAAGTACCAGAGTCCTGTGCACCAGCATTCTGCCACTCCATGATGTTTTGGTACAAATTGCATTCTGACATAACATTGACCATTAACATAATTTTAAAATGCCACGTGCCATTGACATCACCGATCCACCCGAATGAGTGTCATTGTCATTACATGCAGGGATTCTCCTGATGTAATGATTTGCTAAGAGCCCACCACCATGATCATGGAAATCA